TCGGATTCCCCAGCAGGATCCTCGCACTTTCCATGCAGATGCACCTCTCGGTGCGATTCCTGCGCCTCAATGGCTGCTACAGCGAGCCGATATGCAAGCCGCTCCATGTTGGCAGGGGCCAGGCACTCGAATAACCTCGCTCGAGCATTGGTATGCGTCGTCCTGCGACAGTACGGCAGCAAAATCACGAAGACTCAGCCTAGAACATGGTTCGACGACATCGGTGTCCAGCTGTACGGTTCCAAGGATACCCTGGTGCGAGACGCCGTCGACTCGACCAAGACTCTACACGAGGCACTACAACAGCAAGGACTTGTGGTCGCGGCAAAGCCGGTCATCATCACGACACACATGAAGGACACCAAAGAGATCATCAAACGACTAGCGGACCTCAACATTCACATCGGCGGCAGCACCGAAGGGTGCGACCTCGGCATCGACACGGGCAGCCGTACATGCACACTACGACGGGCGCACCACGCACGCAAAAAGAAGGCTTGGGCAAGAATGAACCTGGTTCGCGCCCGCTTCAGAAGGGCCAGACGGCACAGCGTGAGAGGAGTGCTAGCCCAAGGGGCCATGGCATCCCTGCTGTGCGGGGCCAAGGCGTACGGAGCATCGCCCAACGAGAGACTGCAGACGCGACGACACTACGCACGAGCATTACGACGAGCCTGGCCAGGCAGATACCTGACAACCCTCATTGCAGCTGAAGGAACATATCCTGAGGTATCTATTATTAAAGCACAATTTACAGCATGGTTTGATATGTGGACGGCACCCCACGAAGTACGACAACGTATTCGACGAGCGTGGCCGAAGATCAAGTCCAGACTACAGAAACAACCACATGGACTACGATGGCAACGCAGGCGCGGCATTATTGCCGCACTCATCACCACGTTGAAAGACCTGGACTGTGACCCTCAGCGCGCCGACTATTGGATTGACCCCCGGGGCGACGGGTGGCTGCTCAGGGAAGAGGGCGCGCACGGAGACCCAACCGACGTCATAGACGCGCTGACCAGCCAGGTCGAGCTTCAGCAATGGAGACAGGCCAGCAAACACCACAGCGGCAGCGGCCTCGAGAACGGCGCCGACGCGCAAGACCTCATCAGCCACCTCCAGCACCTCGACCGACGGGGCAAGCACCAACGACACGGAGCACTCTTGGCTGCTGCATGCGCTGGGACTTGGCCACGGCAGCGCATCGCAGACGCCTACGGCACGCCCAACCAATGCGAATGTGGAGCGCCTGACGACGACTACCACCGCATCTGGGGAGACTGCCCACAGAGACGACAGCACATTATATACGAACGAACAGAGCACCTCAAAGAGCGAGCAAAGGAGGGCATCGAGACGAACGCAGCCTTCTGGCTCAGAGGCATTACTCCACGACCCATGACCTGTCCACCACCATGCGCTACGGAACCTTCGCACACCTGCTACGGCGACATCCAGCACGGCCAACTGATCGCAGACGACACTCCACTACACTTCTGCGGTGACGGCAGCGGAGGAGCCATGTCAGCAGACCGACGGTGCCGTAGGTGCGGGTGGGGATGGGCTTGCATGAACCACACGACTGTACGAGCAACTATGCGGGGTCCACTACCAGGACCAAGACAGACGAACAACCGAGCGGAGATGTGGGCACTACTTAGCGTGTTGCAGAACTCGCAGGATCCCATCATCTATTGGACGGACTCAGAAGTACTGAGAGGAACTGGAGGCGCAAACGACACAGGACCAACAAGTAACACTTCGGCAACGGCGACATCTGGATGAGGATAAAGGACGCCATCGACCATCGGGGAGGAGGTGACGAATCCATCACGATAAGACATATGCAAAGCCACCTCGAATGGGAAGACGCTCGACGAAGAGATATTCCAGAATGGGCGTGGCTCGGCAACAGAGCAGCAGACGAACAAGCCGACACAGCAGCAGACGAGCACGCCATACCTGCTGCACAGCGTGGATGCTACGAGTGGGCGCGAGCGGTCGGCAACCTGGTCAGACAGCGCATCACACAAGCCACCCTGGACTGCATGGAACGACGACCACCAATGAATTGGGAAGATCGGGCGAAACTAAAGCGAGAAGCCAAATTGCGAAGACCACCAGCACCAGTTCCCGACGAGCTGGCAACACAGAGCTTGCACCAAGTACAACCGACTCCGACGGGATGGCTCTGCGGAGCATGCGCACAGTCTGTCCTCCGACGACGAAGAACAACAGCAAGGTGGTGGCTTCTCTCCCCATGCAACATCACGGCGACAGCAAAGAAACCACCGCTAACTCTCAAAGGACGCCAAGCGCACCACTCCCACCAGATGGAATGGCACAAGCGAGACCAAGGGTACTACAGCTACAAATGCGGCAGCGTGGCGAAGCACTACATATCGGAAAAACTCGGGCAGGAGTGTGCACCCCCTCCACCGAAGTCACGGGCCGATTATGTGGTAAGGGCAAGAAGAAAGCACGCCAAGGAACAGCCGACAAACACAACCACGACTCCAGCAACATTAAGAAGTGCAAGGACCGCGACGGCACCGAGCACTGACTGACCCTACGCAGCACAGGCTGACGCTACCAGCACCGACTGACGCAGCTCAGCACTGAGTGCACGACGGCAGCACTGACTGACGTATCAGCATATTGAGAAGAGCGATCACGACAAGCACGACGGCATCGAGCCCTCGCGCATGGACAGCAGGGCCAAGATGAAGCACAGCATCATCCTGGACAGGGAGACCTGCGGCTCCATGGAGGTCTGCGGCGAGGCCTGAGAGGCCGCGAAGAGGCCCGCGGCCGCCGCCGCCCCTGCTGGACCGCAGGCAGGAAGGGAGTGGACGTCGTCCTGGGGGGAAATCTCGGAAATCTCCTCCTCCTCCTCCTCCTCCTCCTCCTCCTCCTCCTCCTCCTCCTCCTCCCCCTCCCCCTCCTCCTCCTCCTCCTCCTCCTCCTCTCTCCTCCTCCTCCTCCTCCTCCTCCTCCTCCTCCTCCTCCTCCTCCTCCTCCTCCTCCTCCTCCTCCTCCTCCTCCTCCTCCTCCCCCTCCTCCCCCGCAGGACGATGTTCTATCGTGGCGTAGTTTCTCTAGCGGGAGGGCCTTCGATGGGGCCCGCCGTGGGCCACTCCCGAGGCAGGGCGTGGTGCGGAGAGACCCGCTGCGGAGTTTCCCGCCCCTCCGTCGGGTTCCTAGCCTGGCTTGCGAATTTCCTCCTCCTCCTCCTCCTCCTCCTCCTCCTCTCTCCTCTTTCCTCCTCCTCCTCCTCCTCCTCCTCCTCCTCCTCCTCCTCCTCCTCTCCCCCTCCTCCTCCCCCTCCCCCTCCTCCTCTCCTCCTCCTCCTCCTCCTCCTCCTCCTCCTCCCCCTCCTCCTCCCCCTCCTCCTCCTCTTCTTCCTCCTCCTCCTGGTTCTCCTCCTCCTGGTTCTCCTCCTGGGGCATCGGTGTCCCCGTGCACTTTGACCCCCCAGAGGCCCCGAGGAAGCAAAGATGGCCCCATTCCCGTCGGGAAACATGCATTTTTATACCGCATTCGTGTCTTTCGTCTTCGTGCCGTCTTTGACAGCTTCAGGGGCCCCCACGGTCGCCCCAACACGGCCTAAGAGACCCCCCAGAGGGCGCCAAGACGGCCCAGGAGGGTCCCAAGACAGTCCCTTTCTGCCTCCGTTTTGTGCTTTCTACCTCGTCAGCCTTGGGGGGGCCGCGAACTGCGAAACCATCTCCACCTTCGAGGGCTGCTGTGGGGGCCACCATGGTTGGTACCGAGCGCAGACTCAGATTAGACCTCACCATTCCTGGTGAGCTGCCAACTGCGAAACAATCTCCACTTTCGACGGCTGCCGGGGAGGGGAGGCAGCGCAGTTGGCACCAAGCGCAGACTCAGATTAGACCTCACCGTTCCTGGGGGATGCCAACTGCGCAACTGCTGTTTTTTCCGAGGGCTGCGGGGGGTGGGCATCATAGTCGGTACAGAGCGCAGACTCAGATCACACCTCACATCTGGGGGGGGCTGCGAATTTCGAAATTGCCGCAACTATCGAGGTCTGCTGGAAATGCAGCGCGGTGGGTACCGAGCGCAGACTCATATTGGACCTCGTCGTCCCTGGGGGGATGCCAACAGCGGAATTGTTCTAACTGTCACTGGCTGCTGGGGGGGGCAGCATAGTCGGGACCCAGCCTTGACCCAGATTAGACCTCACCATCCCTGGGCAGCTGCGAACTGCGGAACTGCCGCGTGTTCCATGGCTGCTGGGGCTCCAGCATCGTAGGCATCGAGCGCAGACTCAGATATAGACCTTGCCATCCCTGCGGGGCTGCGAACTGCGAAGGCTGCCACCACTTTCAGGGCCGCCCGAGAGGCCGGCGGAGCGGAAACCTACGGGGACCCAGGTGAGGTCTCGCCATCCCTGCGGGCCTGCGAGTTGCGGGTTTGCCGCCACTTGGGAAGGCTGCTGGGGGGTCTAGCGGAGCGACGTCGTGCGGGGACCCAGACTAGACCTCGCCATCCCTGGGGGGGCTGCGAGCTGAGAAGCTGTCACCGCTTGCGAAGGTTGCTGGGGGTTCCCAGTTGAGTGGCGTATCACTCAAATCAGAATGATGCCTCGCTTTCGATGCCTGCCATTGCACGCCATGTTACATTTTACTTCACGCTCCCGCCTCTCGTCTGCACCGTGGTCCTGCATCCGTCTGGTACAGTGTAGCACGCGAGTCTCCCTTCCATCTTTCACAACTAATCGGACACCTTGCCATGCCACCATCCGCAATGTTCTGGTACATTGTTCTTGTGACTTCGTGAATATGGGCTTGGCATGGTGCAGGGCCACTGCTCCACACGTCGAAGGTCTGGGACTCTGCCGCCACACACTCTCTTAGAGATGCATGGCTGCCTCGGGCGTCGGGAGACGCTGGAAAAAAAAAGCTGCATGAAGCTGACTCGCCAACCCCCACTTGCTATCGTGCGACCCAGTTCTGGTTCTTCTGCCACAGGAGGGTATTCGAGTTCCTCGTCGGCCCGTCCGCCTCCCTGCAGGACCGGCCAAGAACGCGAGAGCGGACCCCTCCCCAGAGTGATTCCTTGGTCCGCAGCTTCCCGGGCTAGCCTCAAGCGCGCAGGTCGTTTCTGTCGCATCGCATGGGTCGACCGCCAGGCCGCGCACCAAAGGCCACTGCCTCACGCCTGCCTCGGCCCGCGGCTTATCGGGCCACACCTGGGGCCTCGGCCGGCCGCCCGGGGCGAGCCCGGGCGCCCCCCGAAGGCTCCCGGCGCAGTGCAGCATGCCAGAGAGCATCCCGAGGCGAGGAAGCCTTTGAGAGGGTCGCTTCCGCATGCCTCCCAGACCTCCTCGAGTCATGAAAAAATCACGACGGGAGGTTTTTCGCTATTTTCGCCCTCTCAGGGCCCTTACCGGACCTCGGGACCGTCAAAAAACGACTCGGGATGAAAAACCGGTCCCGGGGAGTGGACCTCTGGGGGTCGCGTCATGAAAAAATCATGACGTCGGGGGTCTGGGCTCCAGGCTTCCCAAGTGTGGTCCGAGTAGATGGGGCTGAGGATCGTGTCGCATCGCGTCGCCGATGCATCGGCGATGCAACTCTGTGTGGAGCCTGATCTTCTCCACGCCGACGGCGCCGATGCATCGCCGGCGTCGCCGACGCATCGGCGATGCAGCGGCGATGCGGCGCGATCCTTCAGAGCCCTAATCATCAGGGGTAACTCGGGTCAGGGATAACTCGGGTTCGTTTCTCGGGAATCCAAACCCGAGTTACCCCGGACCCGAGCTACCCCGGATAACTCGGGCGTCCAGAGCCCCGAATCATCAGGGATAACTCGGGTCAGGGCTAACTCGGGTTCCTTTTCCGGGAATCCAAACCCGAGTTACCCTGGACCCGAGTTACCCCGGATATTTCGGGCGCCCAAATCCTCCGACCCCATCTACTTCAGACCCTTCGATCCAACGTTGTGAAGCAAGTACAACATCGCGAAACATCACGAACGGAGCGGTTGCATTCTTCAAGCTGGTTTGTTTGTGATGGCCCTAGGGCCCGAAGCCGGGCGGAAACGCCCGGTCTGACAGAGCATGCAACGCCCAGATCTCGGCGTGTGCCAGCGACAAGACCAGGATCTCTGACCCGAAGATCTCAGGAGGGAAAAACACTCAGAGCCCCGAATCATCAGAGGGTAATTCGGGTCAGGGCTAACTCGGGTTCGTTTTTCGGGATTCCGAACCCGAGTTACCCCGGACCCGAGTTACCCCGGATATTTCGGGCGTCCAGAGCCCCGAATCATCAGGGGTAACTCGGGTCAGGGCTAACTCGGGTTCGTTTTTCGGGAACCCAAGCCCGAGTTATCCCGGACCCGAGTTACCCCGGATAATTCGGGCGTCCAAAAACACACACAGACACAGTCCATCGTCGACTCCCAGGAAAATGCGGGAAGATATGGGTCAGGTGTTGCGCCCACCAGGAAACAAAACGAGGGCCTCGACAAATTTGTTTTTGCATTTTTTCATGTATTTATTGGTGGCGTCAACCGCGGTCGTCGCCGATCGCTTGCCTTGATTTAGCGATTTCGGTCGACGGAGGCACGCGAATCGCGCGAGTTTCCTTCTCGTAACTGCTTCTGCCGTGTGCCGGGTTTTCATGGCGCACGTGCCGCGCCTGGCCCTTTCAGATTCAATCGCTCGTACTAATGCGCGGGCCGCACGCAGGCCGCAGTCCACGCGCGCTTGCGCGGCGCACCGCAGCGCGCTTCGAAACGATGTTGGGCACAATTGCATTTTTAGCGCATCGCCGCGAAATTGTTAGCCACCTCGCGCGGGTGATGCCGCACGCACGCGTGTCCCACCGCATGTGCGCCGCCGGAGCTAATTTTCCGATTTCGGTCGTGAATAGTATCGCGGGCGTGTGTCAGGCGCCTTCGACGCGCCATGTAGGCCCGCGCCGTGCGCGCCCACGCATCAGGTCAGAAACATATCATCTTACTACTTCCGCGTAATGCAGCGCGTGCGTTGCAACGCTGTTAGCCAAGGGCGCTGGTGCGTCGCCGAAAACCACAGCCAGGTTCCCTTGGCAGGAGGACTGGCGGGGGGCGCTCATATTCACCACCCTAAGGGGAGCCGCCAATGGTTCTCTCACGGTCCCGTTCGCAGCCGTTTTGTGGGGATGTCTCAAGCGGTGTGCTTGTTTTCTGTCCCAGCATCCTTCGCTCTCGGAGTAGATTTGGAGGATGTCTCGAGCGAGGCGCTCCACTTCACCCCCCCAGGTGGGCCAGATTTTGAGGATGTCTCGATCGGTGGCCAGACTCGTGGGCGCTGGTTTTCCTGGGGATGCCACAGGAGGCTCCAACAGGTTCCAGGAGGCCCGTGGAGACCACATGAGGTCCCAGGATGAATCAGGATGCCACAGAAAGACCCAAGAGGCCACAGGATGCCCCAAGAGGCTCTAGGAGGCCCCAGGAAGCTCCTGGAGGCTTCAGGAAGCCACAGGAGGCCCCAGGAGGCCAGAGGAAGCGCCAGGAGGTCTCCGGAGGGCAACAGGAGGCCCCGAGAGGCCCCAGGAGCAGGAGGCCTCAGAAGGCAACAGGGGTGGTTCCAATCCCATGTGTTTTACGTATGCTCTCATATATTGGGCCTCACCTGGGGCACGAATCCTTGATGTTATACGTATGTTTCTATAGATTGTCCATATCCTGTGTACTTATGTTCCTATAGGGCCTCTCCTAGGGCACGACTCCTTGGTGTTGTACGCGTGTTCCTATAGATTGTCCCTTTTTTTTCTGCGGCTCCAAGTCGCAATGTTTTATGTACGACTGTTGCTATAGATTGGGCCTCTCCTCGGGCACGAATCCTCCCTAGGAGGTCCCAGGAGGCCCCAGGGGGCCCAAAGAGGCTCCTGGAGGCCCCAAGAAGCCCCAGTAGGTCCCCAGGAGGCCCCAGGAGGCCCCAGGAGGACCCAGGGACATGCGCAGAGACGCGCTCGTACTACTGAGGCTCATTCACACTCCAATTGATTCTCAGTTAGATTCATGACCAGACCGTCACAACTGAAACCCGTTTATACTCGAAAGTTTTTGCGCCTAGATTCTCACGGCGGACAGGTCCATGGGAATAAATGCGCATATGGGGAGCCCCACGCAGTGAATATTTGAATCCCCTTAGGGGGGTGACAATGAGCGCCTCGCTCGAGACATCCTCCAAATCTGCTCCGGAAGCGAATGATGTTGGCACAACTAACAGGCAAACCCGCTTGAGACATCCCCACAAAACGGCCGCGAACGGGACCGTGAGATAACCCCTCGGCGGCTCCTTAGGGACGTGAAAATGAGCGCCTCGCTCTAGACATCCTCCAAATCTGCTCCGAAAGCGAAGGATGTTGAAACAGAAAACAGGCAAGCCGCTGGAGACATCCCCACAGAACGGCCGCGAAGGGGACCGTGAGATAACCATTGGCTGCTCCCCTAAGGGGGGTGAAAATTAGCGCCTCGCTCGAGACATCCTCTAAATCAGCTCCGATAGCGAAATATGCTGGGACAGAAAACAAGCAAACCGCTTGAGGCATCCCCACGAAACGACCGCGAACGGGGCGCGCGTGAGTCTCAGCATGAGTAAGTCTGAGTCGGAGCAGGTCTGAGTATGAGTAGGTATGAGTATGAGTAGGTATTTGTGTGTGAATATGTGTCTGAGTTAGTCTGAGTGTGAGTCAGTCTGTATATGAGTAAGTCGGGGCATGAGGAGGAGAGGGCAGGAGAAGAGTGAGAAGGAGTAGGAGGCGTCCACGTAATAACAAAAAACCATCTTAGGATATGGCGAACATGCAAACTGCACCAAACCCTCGATGGGGATTACCCGTCTGACATGCAACGCCATCCGCGCGGGGCGAACATCACGCGGTGATAACGGACTGGGGCCACCGTCGCATTGTAAAATCCAATCCGTGAGCTCCCATCGGGGCATCCAGGCGCGCGGCGTTCCCCCTGCTGACAGCACGCCCTGGAAAAAACAAAAAAAAACGAGCACGTCGCATATTTAGAATGAGGGCGGCCCGGCCATACCAATCGTCGCAACTGCTCCCAAATATGCCGTCCCCCCCCCCCCCATCGGCCCTATGTCATTCAAACGTCCTCTGCATTGATGCGAACTGCCATGGCGGCGCACACTGCCCCCAACGACGGCCGACACCGCTGAAGGTGATCATTTTTCATAGAGACAATCACGATGCGACGGCCCATGCGGCCCAAAATGATTCACACCAACCCGAGGACAATCCAAGAGCTCCCAAAAAATACCGCGCGCTGTCAGCGAGGATGCTTTTCGGGCGCCATCAAACTGATCAGACACAAGAATATGAAAAGGAACGTCACGCTCTCGCCCTTCTGGGTATTAGAGCGCTGGGCACCCCCCGAAGAACCGCCCAAATCGCAGCAAAACGGCCGGAAAGGGCCAGAGGAAATTGAATGCGGCATGACCCCTCCTCTTTGTTATCTTCTACCCCCCGTCACCCCACTTCGCCATCATATTAATCCCCTGCCTCCTCACGTTACCCCCATTTTCTCCTGTTATCCTCCTCCTCCTTCTCATCCTCCTTCGCCTTCGTCGTCCTGGTGTTCTCCCACTCCCTCGCCCCCCTCAACCGCCCTCGTTATCCCTCCCCTCCCTTTCCCCGTGTCATCCACGCCTTCCGCCTCATCCTCCTCCTCCTCGCCGCATTGCCCCTTCCCCCCCTCATTCGCGCACACTTCCCATTCCACGCTCGAGACATCCTCCAAATCTGTTCCGACAGCGAAGGCTGTTGGAACAGATAACAGGGACACCGCTTGAGACATCCCAACAACACGGCCCCGAACGGGACCGTGAGATAAGCCCTGGCGGTTCCCCCTATGGGGGGTGAGAATGAGCGCCTCGCTTGAGACATCCTCCAAATCTGCTCCGACAGCGAAGGATGTTGGGACAGGAAACAGGCAAACCGCTTGAGACATCTCCACAAAACGGCCGCGAATGGGACAGTGAAATAACACGTGGTGGTTTCCGTCAG